AGCTTAAATTCATCGGCATCCATATTGTATTGTTGATTAAATGTTATTGATTTAAACTCTAATTCAGAGGAAGTTTCCACATCGAAAATATCTATTGTAATTATGAAAAAAAAGTAATGGAAATATTTTAAATTAAATAAATTCAAGCTATTTTGTTGGCCTTGTTAGTACCTTATAAGCCAAACTAGAGTTAACACCAACACCATTAGAAAAAAATTCATAAGTACTACCTGTTAGTCTTAATATACTTTATAAACATTTTTTTAGTATTATTTCTCTTATATATATTACTTTGTAAATAATTTTATTGTTAATGTTTTAAATATTTTGCTCAAATGGTTAAGTTATTAAGTTGTGAAGTGTTTATGTAGCAAAACTACACCTTAAAGACAATACAAGAAACACTGCTAACCGTCGTAGGCGCCTACTATTTTCCTTTTCTTATTCTAAGTAGGCAGATATGTGATCATATGACCTCAACCATGTACTTTAAAATAATTTGCTATTGATTAAAAGTGAAATTAATAACAAATTTTATAATTTTCTTAATAGTTTATTAGTTTTTTTTGTGCAATGAGTACTTGGAATGATTTATACATCGCCAAACCGACTGTCATCAGAATGATGTGTCCAACTCCTTAGTATGTCAACATACTAACATATGTAGGGTGTTTCAGAAACGCTCTCTTCGGAGAGACTTTCTTTTATGTTGCCATTTAGATTTACGATCTGTATTCAGACCTCCACTTTTTTGCTACATTTTAGGGTGGCTAGCCTATTTTTATTAGCCTAGTTTCTGGTCCTTCCAGGTCTAATTTCTTTACTTTGAAGTCTTTTATTACTTATGATTATATCATTTGTAGTGCTTAGGTTTCACTCATATCCTTTTAACCACATTTTCTGGAATTAATTGATCCTTATTGGGACACGTCAGTGTTCTATACAATGAACGAAAGAGCATAGTGTGAAATTGTACTTTAGCTATAGTGTGATATTATTTGCAATTTTAAGTATAATACGTAAATTTTAATTCTTGTTTTTTCAGCTGGAACTTCATTTATCTTACCATTTTATGGTATATTTAAATTTAAATTTTAATAAGAATGTAGTTTTTATATAAGATTGAACTCACTCGATCTGTTTTAATTTCCAAACGAGTTAGAAGTATTTGTTTCATAAAAATTGAATGACTTTCTTAGAATTTGAAATGTGAGTACTTCTATATGTTTAAAAAAGTTTGGTTTCTGTTATTATATTAAATTCTTTAATAGAATTATATAGCATATTCGATTTTTTCTTATCAAAAACAAAACAGCTTTAAATTAAGTAACATAAAAACAGATGACATATAAACAGATGATAAATTTATAATAAAAGCAAATTGATCATAATATAACAGATGAAAATATTAAAAAATATGTATAATCTGAGTAAAATTTAAATGTCAAAACGCCCTTACATAGTCTAAAAATAGGAAATTTGCAAAATGACAACCATGAGTTTCCTAATAGCATAATTGTCTTCATGTTGTTGGTATAAAACCAACAGACACACATTTATAAGACACACATGCTTACTTTTCTAGAAAACACTGCACCACAGGTAATATGCCATGTATATTTGCTTTACGGCTTATATGGGTTAACACATCGCTCGAAATGTTTTTGACTAAAATTGTCTTTGAAATTCAAAGGATAACAAGATACTCAGCTGCCACAAAATACCCGGAAAAACTTAAAGTTTGTTTGGTCCGTAGGCGGTTTTTATTTACATAACCCGAAATATAATTTATTTTGTATATTGGAAATTTATTGTTATTAAAGTTAGTAAGGTAAGACAAAACATAAATAGATTCTTTCATATATGCTTAACAAGTAAAACCATATTGATTGTATGAGTCCATTTATAAGCAATGATTTATGCTTATTGTAATGCACTTTAGATAGTTTAGATAAATTTAAAGAAAAATCTAAAAATGAATTTTAAAAAAATATTTAATTTAATCTCAGATTTTTTAATGTACCTACAACTTTACATGATATTTTGCTGTAAAACAGCGTTCGGAAGAAGAAGAACATTTAAAGAAGAACATTTCTTTATTATTTACATATTTGCATGAAAATATGTACTATAAGGTACTATAAGGTTAACAAAAGGCAAGTATTTTACAATTCATATATAAATAGGAATAACTCATCAACATAAAAAAAAGAATAAACGGGATACTAGCTCCCACTTGACCATCATCAACATAAGTGGAATTAGTTTCAGCGTGGTTAAAGATAATACCTTATAAAAAAATTAATTAAAAAATTTATTCAAAAGTGTTAACTTCGACACGAATTTTTCAGAACAATCAGTCAATATATATTAGCAGTGACATATTCAGGAAGTCAGCATGGTTAACTGTATTACGAGAAGGTTCTTCTCTGGACAATATAATCTACAGAGAGTGCTCTAGTTAAAAATATATTTTGCAGTAGATCAGACCTTTGATACAATTCTGACTATGCCACTGTATATTGGAGCATCATGACGCGATCATATAATTAATGATTACTTTGCTCACTGCCGACCATTAGGACATCGAAAATGAATTAGAGAAAGAAGTGATTATTTCAAATGATATCTTTAAAAATATGTCTACGTAGAGAAACAAGATATATCCATCAAATTGGCAACACTGATTATTTGACAATCAATGCCTTTGAAATCGTTTGTTCATTGGTCTATATCGGTAATGTCTTAAATAAATCTAATAAAACTGAAAAAGAGATTAATTAGTGTTTTATTTCTTAGTGAGAGGAGATTAGATTGAGGAACATTATTCATATCAAAATACCCAAAACGAAAATGGTCATTCATTTTAAACCGCCGATTATTATTTCTCTAAGCCAAGACATTGTTGAGAAAAGTATAATCGATGGATTAGAATTTATGTAGAACTATAATATGAATTCTTGTTTTCACATATGACTTTTCACAAGAAATACTTTTCACATATAAACACAATTATGTCAGATTTGGTAACAAAATTTTTACCAATCGATTAGTATTGAAAAAGAAAGGGGTGCTGGTTTTCGGAAACCGGAACATTGCAACTATTATGAATCTTTTGGTTTACGTTTGATCCTAACTCAACAGAACACACTCCCTACCTTTCGAACGATGACCAAAATGTCAGCTGTTACGGACAAACTAACTATGGACGAAGATACCAATTCCTGACTTAACATTCTCTTCTTGCTTCAGATCAAATTCGGACAGTCATTACGACTGTTACTAAAAGTTATATGCGCATCCAAGCAGAAATTCATTTTGTCGTTTCAGGTATTATTTTATTAAGATGATAACGCAGGCTATGCTGACCTCTCAAGGTGATCTATCAAAAATTGTAAAGTTTAAGAATACTTAGAGTTTTAACAGTCATTATATAAATATGCATAGATACTATGTTATAAACATATACCTTTTTTACTAGAAAAAAATATTTCTATTTAAATTTCAAGATTTAAATGTAAAAAGTGTATTTACTGGTAAATCTGATCTGGCAAAGTCAAAGTTAACTTTTTTCTTGTTCTTGTTAGGCGTTACTTTTCGCGCTAAGTAGCTTTAAGAGCTCAGTGGAGATTATTAACACTAATGTTTTTATGATTATTATTGCTTTTATTATGGTTAAATGTAGAGAAAATGTTTTTACTTTGCAATGGATGCGGAAAAACTAAAAAAGTGGTTTCATTTGTTAATGTAATAAACCGTTTGGAAGATTTTAAAAAGTTTTTCTTTTCTAATTAGCATTTCTCGTTAAGTTTTAAATACAGAAATAAGTATGAAGTAATTGAAACCCTCAAGCACACCAAGGAAAATGTTATTTAATTTACAGTAGTTAAGGGAAGCTGAAGGAGCAGAACACCAATGGTCTATATGCTGTGGGTTGTCTGTTAGTTAAGGGAAGCTGAAGGAGCAGAGCACCAACGGTCCATATGCTGTGGGTTGTCTGTTAGTTTGCCAAACACCATTTCCATTGTTAGCCGTAAGCAATTAAGTTAAAAAATACGTGAAATTATGAAATTGACTTACCCTCTTCGGCAGCCTTTTTCTCTTGACGACGTTGTAGCACAACTTTTTTGAAAATAACAGCAGCGGCCTCCACTGCATTTTGTATCTCCTGCTCTCCCAAGGTTGTGGTGTGTTGCTATAATTATGAAAAGAACGAAGAAAAATTACATAAAATGTTAACGTACTATGAAGAGAAGAATGAGAAGAAATAGAGTGAGGAGTGGTGAGTGAAGTTAAGGTATCTTAATTATATATTATATCTATATTTTGTCACTGCATTGTTCGCATTAGTAGAAATAAAAATTGTCATAGAATTTTTATTAAAAACAAAAGGTGGAGGAAGGTATGGTAACCATACCGCAACGTACCTTTGTCGCCGGATCCGTTGTTGTGGCGGCTTTATTGGTTTCATCGTCGTCGTCAGTTTTCTTTTCAGTTTGCATTTGATCTTTTGTAACATTGCTTGACTTTGCATTTATGTCGGTTTTTTGCTCTTGGGATTTGCTTGTGACCGGATGTTGTCCTTTTTGTTCAACGGAATTTTGTTCCTGTTTTTTGTTTAATGTCTTTGCGGATAAATCAGAATTTCTTCGTTCATTTAAATATGCTTTTATATTGCCTGTAAGTTAAATAACAAACAATAAAAAGATTAAAATATGAATAGAATATTTTTAATAAATAGCTCATAAAATAATATTACATGAAAAATGATTTAATTCATATCAATAGATTACCGGAAGTTTTTATTTATTTAAACAATAACAAAATAAAAAGTTAAATTTTTGATTTAAAAAGTAAAGTGGGATTAAAGACATTTTAAATTAAAATTTATTTTAACTTATTAATTTAAAATGTTATATTGATATCTTTATAAAGTATAAAATTTAACACGAACGGAACTGCAGTCAAAATAATTTTTGTTAATATAGTTTTTCCTAATTATTCAATTTATTGATATAGGTGTCCGTTATTAATTAAGATAATTCAAAAATAATTTGTTTGATATTATAAATGTAACCTAACAATTCTACGATCTGATTAGTTAACGTCGTTTTAAGATAATTTTTGAGATAACATATTCAAAACTTGTCAATAAACATATAAATATATTGCTATATTTAGCTAAGATTTTAGTTAAAACATTCATAAAATATATGTGACATACAGTCGACAGATACCATATAAGACAATAGCATTTTTTGTACCAAAAAATTCCTTATCTGAATAATAAACAATTAGTCTACTTTATCTGTGTAAGTTCAGAAACAATATACTATATCATCTAGTAGGTCTATCATACTAATATGACTCCAAATACGGCCGGGTTCATTTGTCAATTTCGACGATGGCTGTTCACCACTCCCCAAAAGAGACTACATAATCCCCGCGGAATTAAAAAAACATACTCATATAATAGTAATAGCCAAAGCCATGGAATTATATTGAATAATGTGTTTGCAACCATATCATACTCATGAAAAATATTCTCTATAGATAAATATCTAAAAAAAGGTCTTTCACTTTAAAGCTAACTAAAGTTGATATTGATATTTTTATTAATTTTTATTGAATTACTGATCCGAACAGATTTACTACCAACTGCTAGGTGATCTGATAATCATCGAAAAACTTTTCTATTTTAGCTTCTTAATAGTTGAAGCGTATTATAATAATTTCAACTGCGAATAAAATCTTCAAAAAGATATTGTCATAAACATTGCATAAATATCAGATTTCGACATCATGTATACCTTTAGATATATCTTTAGATAAACATCTTACTTTGACTATGCGACCATTTTTTAAAAGAATCGAGGTCGGCTGTTTTAGTGAAAAGCAGAAATTTTTAATGCTTTTATGCAACTATAATGATATCCAGAAGTTATTAAAAAAGAATCATTTACAGCTTCCTTAACCATAATATTATATTAGCCTGTTAATAGCATTGATATACATATTATTGAATACATTGAATACGTATTATTTTATTGAAATAAATACAGAAAAGATCTAAACTACGTACAGTGAAAGTCAAGACAAGGAGATGTTAGTTTAGGTTGAAGTGGCGACTTTGTGTCCAAGAAAGCTCACTTGAGTTCAAAAAATGGTTCCTAGGGGTACCACAGGAATAGCACAGTTCATACATAGACTAAAAGGTCTTTGTACGACTAACGCCGAAAGGTATTGACTACCTATAAGGTAAAGGTGAACCAACCTGCCATTTATATGAATTTGGCTAAGCCCCAAATTTGGTAAGATGACAGCTCGGTCAGGTCAGTCAGTCAGTCAGGGTTCCAAAGATTAGAGATCTTCTCCTAATTAAAGGTGAGGACTGACACATGAGATGGAGAGATATATTTAACGGTTTAATATTAAGTATTCTTAAATAATCTGTTTGGTTCACTCATAATTAGTAATGTTTATCATCTTGTTCCAAAATACATTGAACTTAATGATGAATTACTTGCCTTCTTCTTCGGTTGCAATATTTCCTCTACTATTTCTGCGCCTTGGCGTTGGTATTTTCGTATTTTGTCGTACTTTATCCAAAATATCAGCTAAAGGTTTTGGACTTGGTATTTTCGTTGGTTCGGGTTTTTTCGGAGCCTAAATTTTTAATAAAATAATTTTTATTGAAAATCTTTTCAGTAACTAATAGTTTTAACGAAACACAACTGACCTGAGTCTCCTTTTCGGGGTGTGACAACGATCGTCTTGTTACCGGTTTAGGGGTATTTTTTGCGCCAGAATCTTCTGATACTGAACGCATTTGTTCGGGTTTACGGCGTTCATGTGTTTCATGCTGAGCACTAGTGACACTGACATTAGGTCCAACTAATGGTTGCACAACTCCTCCTCCAGCATTGTTTGCTTGCATATTCAACTGATTAAGTTCATCTTGCTGCATTTGCATTTCACGTGACTGTCGCCGTCTTAAGCGGTTTTGAAGCTGTGGTGGAGTACGCGGTAAGGCACCACCACTTGCACTTAAACTACCACCACCCAATGAGTGCCCAGCTAAACTATCACTATCTGTTCCATATCCATATCCATAACCACGTGCTGTTAGTACATTTTCTGAACTATGTACAATTGGTCGCTGATACTGATTATAGCTGCCATCATCTGAACCATCATTATATATAATACGTGGCTCACTGCTAAAGCCAGTGTTATATGTTTTTTCATATTGCACTTCGTCTGCTTCCAAAAAACTATTGGAGCTGTCAACAAAATAATCAGCATATTCCGGTCGATTATCATCTTCTTCTGTAACATCTTGAAATTGATTGAATTGTTGTTTCGCTTCACCAAAGGTGCGCATATGTTCATCCTTCACACAATCCTGCCGCACAAGACGACTTGGAGAGCGACTGTTAAAAAAGAAATTCTATAAAGTAATTGGAAATACGAATTTAATAGCTAACTTACCTAACACTTCGATTAATGGGAATCTCTGGTAAGATGCGCCTATTTTCGGAATGATGATATGGTTTAGTGATTGAATATTCTTCATTACTGTGACTTCGCACTTTTATCATTTTGGCATGATCACGATGGATGTTTACGCTCTGACTGCTTGCATATTGTTCTCCACTTCCACTGCCACTGCTGGTATCTGCAATGCCAACAGTTGGCACATTTTGTTGGGATAAAAATTGACGTGGATTTTGTACATTTGGGAAGAGGAAGTTCTGTTTTTGGCGAGGGGAAATGGGCATAAACTTAGCTGGTGAGTTGGCATTTGTAACGCCAGCTGGATGTACGGTTAGTGAGTTACCACTAAATGCTTCAGGATTGGGTAAAGTTTGTTGACGCATGAACTCAGGTGAGCGGCGATATTGTGGAGATGTTTGGCGTTTGGGTGGTGAGGTTGGTAATAATTTTACATGTTGATCTGGATTGGGTAGGGTGGCTTGTCGCAACATACGTGGCTTTGGTATTTGTTGCACGTAATCCATATCCTCTACGGGTGCTTGTGTGTCATACAATTGTTGTTGTGCTGCTTGCTGTTGTTGTTGCTGTTGCTGATATTGTGCACTGCCTGGATAGTTTGGAGAAGATGGTAAAATTTTAGTTCGGTGTGGTGGTGTACCATAAGAAGTTGGTGCTGTTGTACCCAGATGTGGTTGCTCTGTCATATTGCATGGAAATGATGTCTGTCGTATAAATGGTGGATAACGTTGCTCACCCGGTGAACGCTCTGGTGAACGGCTGTAACCGCGATTTGGAGATGTGGACATATACATAGGAGCTTGACATGGATTCGCTGGTAAGGTTGATTGTCTACGGACCTGTAAATAAGTATGATAGATTAATATAATATAGTTTTTTTTATAAAAGCTAGGCGAAATACCTGTAAACGATGATGAGTTTGATTATTTATCACACTTTGTTGCTGTTGTATATTAATAGGCATTTGTTGCGTATAATTATCACAATCTGTAGTGCTCATATGTATAATATCATCACTATTGTATGCGCTCGGATACAAAGGACTCTTCTGCAATTGATGCGGTGATGTGGGCGCGGTTAGATTGACACTATTATAATTTGCTAAGTTTACACCGCTACCACTTTTATTTGCATCGTTATTTGGTAAAGAGCTAGGTAAAGTAGATTGACGTAACACACGTCTTTGTGGATTTATATGATAGTCTGTTGATTGTACGCCAATAATACCGCTACCGGGATTATAGTTCACAGGATTTCGTGGTAGTTGATGGCGTATTAGTGACGGGTAACTGCCAGCGGTTTGAGTTTCATTTAAATTTTGCTGTTGAGGAAATAATTTATTGCCAACTTGAGCTTGTTGATTAGGATTATTCGGATCGTCCTCGGGATCTAAAATTAGAAAAAATTTTATTTAATATATGTATATATTTTTTAACACATTTGTAGATCTACGATTTTAGTCTTGTGTATTCCTGACATTAGAACATTAGATGTTAATTATCATTATTATTTATTTTTAGAACTATTATTTAGAAATTTCTAATTGTTTATATTATATTTATAATTTATATATAAATATTTTAATAATTTTGTTATAATTTCATATAGCTTATACATATTTTTTTTTAAATTCTCTTTAATAAAATTTGGTTTGTTTTTTTTTATAATGTATTTAACAAAATTTTATTTTATTTATTTATTTTATTATGACTCCATTTTTTTTTATTTATTTTTTATCATAATGGTTGACACTAGTTTGCCAAAGAATTATGTTCTTTTAAAAAGTAGTTCAAGTTCTATTCCTTTAGGTTATTATAAATTTGAAAACTTATTGACTTATCCACATATTTTCATTGATATAGATTTTTGTATGACTCCCAATATGTTGGGACTATTGAGTTTTGTTAAGTTTTCTAAAAAGTGATTTGGATTAAATTTTGTAGCAGATATTATATGAGATTAGTAAATGCAGTTGGAATAGAAGAGAATTAACGTGTTTTTTGTTTATTTGAACATTTACAGTGGTTCATATATAGGAAATCTTTTCTGTCATGAAAAGACATCCAAAACAAGTGGTCGATGTGTAAACTTTGCTACATTGCAAAGATGGATTCCGATATAAGCTTCTATATATATATAAATCTTAAACTCGTTCGCTATGTAGTGATCGATAGAGGTTAAGAGTTGACAATACTTTGTTTTAAATGGCGGTCACAAATCCTTTCAATTCTTAATGAAAGTACCGTTTGCCGTCACTAGTTTGATGACTCCTTGTCGATATATGGCAGTTCAAGTTAATATGGATATGTTTCACTTTTCATGTATTATTCAATTAATCATCGGTTTGTGAAAGTTTAAGATTTTCCTTTCAAGAATAGTGCGCTTATTGTCAGTAGAATATATTACTTTAAATAGTTGAAATCAGTTCTAAAAAACTGGAATACTTAGGTTCATGACCTGTGATTTATATAGTCTATATAGATCTAAAATTAATTAATTCTGCATAAATTCACAGACCCACTCTACTTAGATCAAATATCATTCATAGCTTGCATTATACTAAAGTAATAGTCATATATTGTATTTTCACCATAACTTTTTTTATTTTATAATGTTTTTTTATTCGTATTGAATTCGTACATATAATAATAATTAAATTTTTGAGTTTTTTTCATTATTTTTATTGATGTAATACATTTAATATTATATTTTTTATTATATATTTATTTTAATGTTTTATTATTTTCGTATTATTAATTATTTTTTGTTTTTTGTTGAATTCAATTTAAAATTAATTAAAGTTACTCACTTGATATTGTCCAAGAACGTCGTATGCTTTTCCTTAGCACATCACTGGTAGGCAAATGATCAACAGCTCCACAAGAGCCACGGGTATAGTCCTTCAACCAATCACCACTTGCGGCTTGTATTTCCCTGCAACAGGCAAAGCAATTCAATTTAACAATAAGAAATGAAAACATTTATTTATTTTTATTTTGTTCAGAGTTCTCGAAAAGAAAGAAATAAAAAGTTTTCATTGAAATAATTTGCAGACTGCTTTGCAGTGCAGTTGAAAACCAAATGACAACATTACAGATACAAAAAAAAACCCAAAACTTTGCAAACAACAGAAAACAGCAACAGATAGATTTCGGAAAAAAACTCAATATATCTTAATGATGTGAAGTTGACAGTTGACAAGGCTGCGAACGCGCAGTCAACAGAAGTTGAAGTAGAAGTAGCGTCATCATCAATTGAAAGAGACCTATTCAAGTTTGATTTGTATTGCCGCCTACATTTTTGGGTTGGTTTATGCACCCAACATCACCAGCTCAGACGCAGCCTTAATACTTCCAAACTTGGTTTCTAAAAGTGTAGTATGCAGTACTTTGTGAACGATGATGTGTTGGCAATATTAGGCCAACAGAAAACAAATGAATTTTATTGTGAAGATTTTTCTTTTTTTGCTTAGCAATATATATATCTATATATATCTACAGATATAAATCTATTTCTATTTCAATTTCAATTACAAATATAATATTCATTGTTTGCGTTTTTATTTATTTACTTTTTTTTGTGATGTTTTGCTAAATTGTATAATTAAGACCCACAATGAATGGAAGTGACTTTCTTGATAAAGTGGGCGCTGTGTTAGTTCCTCGCAAGAACCATAAATAATTGGAGTGTAGTATTGAAAAACATTTAGAACAAATGTTGCACCTTTAAATTTATAATTGAATAACAAACTTTTTATTTTACAAATACTGAAATAAAAAGTTTTAGTATTTTCAATAAAAAATGTTATATTCGATTTGATTTGCATAGATGCACAGGCGTACTTCATAGTGAAACCAGTATGAATCGTTACCGAAACGTGTAAGTGCCGGAAAGTTTTATTTCCTTTATTTTATATCATTTAGTCTACTTCAGTTATTTTATATAATATTTCTTAACTATTTGTTTTTTATATGGTATTCAACCTCAATTTCAATACATTTTAAATTCACACTTATTAACATTTTATTGGGTACTTGAAAAACATTAAACATAGCGCATACTTAAGTTTTTATGTAACTAAATTAATAAACCGCAAAATAATATAAAAAAAATATATGTATTTCGAATTATTCAATTTTTATATAAGATTTTAATAAAGAGATTTTGTTGAACAGTAGTGAACTACAACAACAAAAATTTTAATGAAATTAAATTTATTGAATGAATCATTGAAATGCAATCAATTTCAATATGAATTGAACTTTTATATATTATTTTTTTTAAATTAAATTTAAAATTAAATGATTTTAAAAATAAGTTATATAATGAATATGTAATGATTTATTGCTTTAATGATAAAACATTTATATATTTTTAAACGAATTAAAGGTAACTAGAGTATATATACTATAGTATAAATACTACACATACTATAGTATACATATGTAATATACATACTATAACTATAGTATGTAACTATATAACTATAGTCCACATATTAGTAACAATAAAATATATTTTTAAAACAAATTTGAAAAGTTGTGTGTTGTTTAAGATTAACCAATTAATCGGTTAAAAAATATATTTAAAAAAAAAATAATGAAAACTCAAATCTTCTTTGTATTTAAAATATTTATAATAATTAACTACAAATATTAAAGACATGCACCATAAGTACACTATATGTTAACTATATATTAAATAGTAATTAAATAATATCTATTGAAGTAAATTCTGGATACCTAAGAAAAGGTTAAAATTGCCCACAAGTCAACAAGTCTTTCTGTATGAGTTGAGCTTGAAATGGCAGAATCAAAATCAAAGTGAGGGTTTTAATAGGTTATTGGCCGATAGGTACCCAAAAAAAATGAAATGGGATAATAAGGATTCTAAGGATATCGTTCTGAAATTTTTGAGATTTATATAGAATTTTATTACTAATCAAAATCAAAAATATTATATAAGAATATTTATAGTATATTCTTTGAAAATTTATTAAATGGAAATATAGTACGCATGTGCTTGATGTGTTTTGCGGGAGGAAAAAAAATAATAAAAAATTTCAAAATATATTGGTATCCTGAAAATTTTTATTTCGAAGTAAAATTTAAAACTGAATCTAAATAAAATATAAAAAATGAAAATTTTGGGTATATGTTTTGAGAAAAAATTTTTCTTGAAATTTAACAGTTAATATTAGTACTTAAATATAAACAATTTTAATTGTTTAAACAAATTCTTTAAAGTTTAATCAATTATCTTTGAATCGCTGCAAATTTCAAATTTCTACCTTTTATAGAGCCTGGAACATAGCCATTTGAAAATGTATCTACAATGCCAGTTCTCAAAACCATATTTTCTAGGAAAAAAATTGCAAAATTTTTACCCAATTTATATGTCATTTTTTGCCAAAATCCGTCCGGTTTGTAAAAGAAGGACCCATATGCAAGAAATTTGCATTATATTATGTTCAAGAAACTACTATGTAAGACTAAATATTTTTTCCTTGTTTTAATTTTAATTATTACTAATTAAGTAAGCATTAAGTTCTATTTAAAAACTATATGTTAAAGACAATATTATTTTTTTAGAAGTGTTTTAAATAATTTATTTAACAAGCATTTTATATATTATGTATATGCACTGAACTTCATTTAAATAAATTTTGAAAAATACATCATTTTTATATGGATATTTTTTTTTATAAAGATGTACAACGGTACAACAACAAAAATTCTTTTTTATATTATTTTAATTAAATGAATTTTTGGCTATCCCAACAGCTGTTTCGAGTATTGTCAAATATCCAATCATCAGTGGTCTTGGAAATAATTCTTGTATTTAATTATTGGTTAACAATTTTATTTTGAGACTGCAAGTACCAAAGGTTGAACTCGTACCCTGCAAATTTGAAGCTTAGAGTCAACGCCAACTTAACCAACTGACCCAAAGCCGTACTTGACTTTTTATATTCGCACAGTTTTCTGGAGTTTCGTTAATTTGCTGTGAAAGTTCATTAACAAATTCACTTGCTGTCTTTATATTTGAACGAAATCATAAACCAGCTGTTGAATAATTAAAGTAATTAATTATATTTTTATTTTTAATTGTTAATATTTGTTTTTTATATAATATTTAAATCGGATTTAGTGTTATATTCTACTTATGCTTTTAAATGTTCAGAATAGCATTATTTTTAAAAGCATTTTTGAAAAATAAATAAACGCGTAACTTATAATAAAATACTAAAATAAAAAAACTTATTATTTAATTAAAAAGCACTAAAATTATTAACTGCATTACTCACCTATCTGTATTTATGTATACAAATAATATTTTATCTTACTAAAACAAAATTAATATTTTTATCGAAAATAATAAAATACTTTAATTACATCATACAAGCTTCATTAATGCTGTTACAAACTTGGTATCAAATAACGTAAAGTACTTCAGAAAAATATTTTTTAATATGGAATGCTTTAATTCAAGGGCTTCTCTTGAAAATTTAATATTAAATAACCATAAAAATTACAATCTAAAGTTATATGCACAAAAATGAAACTGCAAAATTTGATAAAGTAAAAGTTAAAATCGATGCGAAAATAATTGATTTAAAAAAAAAATAAAAAACAGAATTATTTTTTAATTTAAAAGTAATTTCATGCGTACTTGAAATAGTGAATTGCAAAATAAAATACAAAAGTTTATATTTGAATAATTGACTGTAAACCAACGAAACTAAAAGTTTTCTAGTGTATTAAATGGGTTATTCAATAAAACACAAAAACAATAACAAACAAATATATCGAATTTAGAATTTAGAAAAATTAACAAAAAGAATTGAATTGAAAATTATTTAATTATAAACTTAACATTGACATACGTCGTCGTCAATTGACAGAGGCGGAAAATGTGATGACGTCATATGTAATTGTAAGCAAGCAAACTTTCAAAGTTTATTTTGGCAGACAATCAACTTATTCTTACATTAATGTAACTTTATTGAATGAAATTAATATAATGACATTAAGAAAATATATATAACTAAGTTACATGCACGGAGTTTTACATACGTTTGTGTTAAAAAATTAATTAATTAGTTTAAAACACTAACATAAACATAGTTACTTGAAGTATATTATATATGTATATATAGATATTTTATTTATTTTTATAAAATTGTTGCTTTGAATTGCGGTACATACAGTTATTTTAACACAAAGCACTTAACAGATGCAAGCAAACAAAAATGTAAAATGTTGTCTGTTAAGGTATACAAACAATGTTAAGCAAATAAAAACACTGTTAAACACAAATAAATGTTAAGTAAAATTTTTTTTTTGGAATTTTTCACAGGAATTTGTGAGTTAACTTTTGCTTGGCACTTACATTTGCTTGTGGCACACCACACAAACCCAATCCGTGGTGCGTGTGGTAAACTCGCGGCAAGCTTTACATACACGTAATTTACAGACCCGACACGGCGCGCCCCGATTTGTTATGCGGCCCAATTCTGTGTTACAGCGTGCACAGTGCCGGTTGGATTCGTGTAACAGTGGAAGCTGTTGTTGAAGTTGTTGTTGTGATAATTGTTGCTGTTGTCGATTGTGGTTATTTTGTTCGAGCTGTTGTTGTTGCTGTTGTTGTTGTTGCAATTGTTGTTGTGGATTTTGTATAACATCTAATGTGCCACCACTGCTACTATTGGCAGCACTGCCAATTTTTAAAGCGCCCTGTCGACGCAATGAGTACAATTCGGCACGCAAAAGCCTGCAGTTTTAAAATTTGGTTTTGTTTGTTTATTGTTTTTGTTTATATATTTTATATGTTTTTGTTTTTTGCGTGTATTTAAAGTTAAACAATTTTTCAGTTGTGATTGAATTTTTTTGCGGATTGTGTTTTTCAGTCATGTTTTAACATGATTAATTGTATTTTATGTTTTTTTTTTGTTTTTTGTTTTTAAATCAGTGCAAGGACGGGTAGGTGTTGAGTTAACGGAATCAGGCGTTATATTATTGTTGTTGTTAGTTGTGTTAGTATTAACAATTTGTGGTGGTTTTAAACAAGATAGAAAAATAAGGATGCACAGCAGCAAAAAAGATGAAAAGAGAAGAAAGAAGAAAAAACATAGCATTAGTAAGTTACAAGTTATTTTTTTTTTTGTTTTATTAATAAAATGTTCATGTACACACAACTGCAAATATAAAAACATACATAGTAGGTTTATGGATTTAACTTATTTTTCAAAAATATATGACAAGCACAGCATGATAAGACACAAAGAGCATAAAAAATTCATCTAAACAATCACGCAAGATTGTTGCAAAAAATAAAATAATATGAAAAAAAAGACAAACAAAAATTTACAAATAATAAAAATTGATGATAAAAAGAAAAATAAAAAAAATAAAGTGGAAAAAGTTTATCACATTTTGGCATATACATTGATAATATTTCATTGTGATTGTTCGTTTAAATTCATATCCTTTACTTCCTCCCACGGTATTAGAGCATTACTTAAAACGCCTTACACTTTTTTTGTTGTACTGTACTGGAAAAATTTATAATTTTAATAGGAAAATTTTGGCATTTTAGATCCATTATAAGCACTTAATGTCATTTGATGTAATCAATCATGGAAAAAGATTGTATCCTTATGTAAATGATTAATTTTATGCATATATATAAGCGTGTGAATCACACTTGTTTTAAATATTTTTTTTAATACATTTTATAAAAAATTTGCATAAATATATCACTACAACCAACTTTTTGAGTTATAATTTCTTATATCAATTAAAGTAGATGAGATTTTATATTCTATAAGCAAGTTTTTTAAACATATTATATGTAGATGTAGGTAAGAATGAAAAAGGTTCAGAGTAGATGTTTGGGATATTCTTTAAAAAAAACAAACTTCAGAGGATCGACATATAATATTAAGGTCCATCTAAGGAGAATGTAGATCTACTCAATTAGCTAAAAGAGTGATTTTAATTCCACATTCCTTGTTATTGTGTTTAGAGTGATGAGTATATAAGAATGAGTCGGACGCACTAATATATGTAAGTATCTGGCCAATACAAATGTTGGAAATATTGCCAAGTGTATTAACTTTGATATGTAACAGATACATCAGAGATAATTTTTTCTGGTATTTTTTTATTTAATATTATAATATATGATATAAGTTTCAGCATACTTTAAGATTTAAAAAAAAAATTACTTTTTAAAATTTGCTATTTGATATGAAGTCATATATGTATTTACAAATAAAAGCATCAGTTAAATCAAATAGTTACTACATTTATTTGATTTAGCACTCTGTGGCTTTTACCTCTTTTGCTTTACTACTAAAGTGATCATATAACTTTGTTCAATAAAAAGCTTTGTTGCTTTTTAATATTTTCCATACGTATTCAAGAATCTGTTGCAAATATAAATCAATTTTAATTTACATCAATAATAAACAAGGGGCTCTACGTAGAAAATAATAGCTGAACAAATTATACAAAGAAAACACATTTTCTTTTAAAATATATTGTACTTAAGCAACAGTCAAAAATTAACGACGTTCTGGTACGACATTTCAAAAATTGTCAAATGGTCAAATGAACAAATTTGAACTCTTACTTGCAAAAAGATCTTTTTCTTTTTCTAGACAAATCCTAACCAGGTATCTTGGAGTGCATTACCGTCTCAGAATGATTTCTCTGCTTGGAAGTAGCGTTCTTTGGTGTTCATAGCTGAGATTGGTATTGAAATATTTGATAGGACACAGTGGTTTAGAAAAAGACGTCTTTACACAATACAAAAAAGCTGACATTACTAACACATCCCAAGCAGACACATCGGTGTGCATTACCATCTTAGAATAATATATTTGCCTGGCAAGGTTATTGATTTGGGTCTAGACTGCGACACTGTAACAATATATTTTTTATGTCAATAGTTATTGGCAATAATTATAATAAATTTTTACGTTTGTAGGCCGACAAGATGTTTGGCTAGGGACTCTTGCAGGCGGTAGAATAGTTCTATTAAAGTCGTAGTGCTCTCCATATATGTTTATTATTACTTAGTAATCATTAATATAATAAATATGTTTAAAACAATTTAATCATGAAACAGAATTGGAGAGAAAGATTGAAGAAGATAAAGAGAAATAGAAGCAGAGAGAGAATGAAGAAAAGCAGAGAAAAAGAGAATACAGGAATTCCATACTAAATCGAGCTACTACTTTGTTTAAATTTGACAAAAGCACTTCACTCTTGATTAGTATTAGAAAGATTAGCTGATATAGTCGACTTCGAATTAGTGTAATTGATAGAAATATGCATCTAAGATATTTTCATTAATAGTACTTTTTTAAATTGTTGAATTTTTGATATATATTATTTAAGCTATATATATATATATTAAGATATATATTAT